ACGAAATGGGCTTTGAACAGTAGAACAGTAGAAAGGCATCATGGCACACTCACAAACCAGCATGTAAAACAACTTGTCTCACCACCAAGGACAGAGGTTTGGATACACGTCTTCTGCAAAGGATGTGTAAGCCGCACTGCCGCGCCAAGGCACCTCTTATAGTGCGGTCCTAACTCTAAACTATGAGAGTCTCCATCTTGGAGCACATAGGGGCAGAAGATATCACACACACACAGATATGTATACACAAAACTACTATCAGCAGTTTTATGATAGTCATCCTTGGAAAACTTTTTAACAAAATACGTTTGTCTTTGCAGGATTCATTTCTTCCGCTTAATTTGCATTCTCTGCTCTCCACTGTTTCCATATCTGCCATGCTGTGCATTTCCTCAGAATATATTACTGTAATTGCATGAGAAAAGTATGGAATGTCATAAAATATTTATTCTGGTATCTAAGAGCACATTCCAAACATGTTCTTGTTGTTCTGCATAGAGTGGGGAAGGTTTGGTTTATATTGCTGTCAATACCCCTTTTGGGGAGATTTCCCCTCACTTCTTCTCCCTGTGACCACACAGGAAATAATGAAAAATTGCACCAACGGGCACACACAATAAAACGTGGCAGCCTTCCAAACTCCTTCCAAAATAACAAAAACATTGTAACTGAAGTTCTACTTTTAAGTACATCTCAATTCAGAACTACTACATTTGTTTCTTTTGGGCAGGGTAAGGATGACATGAGATATTCTGCATGTCCACTATTAAGAATGTAGTAAAGTTCCTCCAGCAATGTCTTATTATTATTTCAATTTAGTGGATATCTGTCTCTATCAGATCAAATTAAGTTGACTTTTAGTTTTTACTTGTTTCCTTTTACATTACATTGCATAGCTTCATCTTAACTAGCACCACAACCAATGACCCAATCCTATGGCATACCATCTTGACCAATTGGCCCCATGTGTTACTCCCAATTCTTTGATAGCCCCCTTTGTCTATTAGGACCCGTATGAGGAAGCTTAGGCAAAAACACAGCCCTGATGAATCCTACTAAACCCAGACAGTCAGATAAAAATTAGAGTGGTCTAAATGACAGATCACTATAGATATCGTGCTCAGAATAAAATAATAAAACTGCAGAGGGAAATGTAACTGTGTAATTCTCTGATGACTCAAAACAAAATGAGTAGTTTGGGATTAAGATCAATTTAAAGCAACACAATGGCATGTATACTTAAATAAACAGTACTTTCTTTTTCCATAGATCCTGACATTGACCCATCATGGTACACTGGCCGTGGAATCCGTCCAGTAGGGCGGTTTGGTAGGAGGGGCACAGCCTGGGAAGATACTCAGAAGTCCATGTATAGACCCCTGGGACACACTTGTATTCCAATAGATGACAGCTTGGAGCTTAGAGAAGACAACTAAAAAGTATCTCAGTCAGTGGAGGTATTATCATTGCCAGTTGTACTGTGTATATAAATGGAAGCACACAACCCTTCATACCCTTGGTTATTCAAAACTCTACCAGTGTGTGGAAAATTTGGTTCAAAAATGTATGCATAAGGTAATATTGAACAGCCAAATTTTCTTAGCAAATTTATGGAAGAGCAAAGGTTTTCTCCTTGAATTATGGGGTTTATGTCAAAAGCTTTCAAAAACAGATTCTAATTACACAATCCACAAGGGAATTCCATGGAAAATATTTTCATACAAATGGGTTCATAAGAAAAAGCAAAATATATTTTAAAGTCTTTAAAGTCAGTATTTTGTGGGGGCAGAGGATTGAACAAGTTATAGCATTTATTCCCTGTTCACCAGTTTTTAGAAATGAAAACATACCGTAATTTGATGTGTTCCTCTTACAGTTGTCATTGTATTACTTGAGATAAAGAGACTACAGCAGTATCATTTCTTGTAGGTTCCTCTTCATCTGTGTATAGCAATCTGTATGTAAAGATCATCGGCACCCAGAATGTATTCTTCTTCTTGCTGGCAGATTTGAACCCTCTTGTTCTTTAATGCAGTTTGGGTTCCTAATTAAAGACATATCCCCTCATTCCTGGAACATCCCTCTTCCCGAGCATTACCACTAGGCTAAGTTCTCAATATAGTCATATAGTTTGGTGGTGTCGTTTAGTGGAGCAAAACTATTCATGTCTTCATGGACTTTGGAACATTAATCAACAGTTGTTTCTCCAGTTCTTGCAGGATTATATTTATTGCTTTAGCAATGCTGCCTGTGTCTCTCCTTTTATCTTCTATTCTCATTTTTTTTCCGGTATATAATTTACCATGAAGTCCAGGAGACAGTATTTCTATCTTTTATGTCTAGTGGACTCTCTATAGGAATATATGGAAAACTCACTTTGGCTTGTGATCATAGTAGCTGAACAGAGAAACTGAGCCAGGCTATCAAAATCCTGACACAGTGGGGGGAGATTTGAATAATTGGGGTCTCAATTTCCAATAAAACACCATGTAGGATCAAACCCCTCCCTTCTCCAAATTGTTTTGGGTAGGACCGCTATCTAGGCAACTGGCAGGAAAGTTATAGGTCTTCAGCAACATAATCGCCAGCAGTAAGGAACAGTTTCCACCACCCTGTGAATCACCAAGTGTAGAAAATATGACCATAATGATAATAGATCACACAAAAGACTAGGAAAAAGAGGAAAAATGCAATCATTTAGAAAACAAATGTCCTCAATCAGACCTTTCTTTAAAATAGCACATTTTACTATAACCTATGGTATAAATATTGACAAAATTCAAGTTTTGAAAAATTATTGGATAAAAAGCTACCTTGTGCTTATTACTGTATATACCAGGTCTATCTGTGAACTGTCGTCCACCACTGGTTCCAGTCGCCAATACATCCAAGATCAAATATTTTCAGTGCTGTTTTTGGATAGCTAACAGATAGATGATGAAGCTGTATACCCAAATCCGAATGTTCTCCTGTTTTACCTGTATATGTAACATTAATCTTTTGTTCACTACTGCTTTCATTTTATATTACTGTTTGTCACATTTATTTGCGTCACTTGTAAATCCGAAACTCTGCCTTATCTCATTTCCAACTGAAATATTTTATATCAACCAAAATAAAAACAAACAAATTGAAAAATAGATTTTAATAAGATTATGCTTTTGATGACTCTAGTCTTTGGTGTTTGTAGATGTATGGTGTTCTGTCATTACACATATATACAGGTATTCTCTATGCATTTTACAGAATTAAAGCTGACTATTTTATTTCAAGATTTTTCTTTAATTTTAACTTTATTTATGGAGCCAGTTTCATGCTATGACAAATACCAACTACAATTTACCTTTCTATTCTTCACTCAGCAGTTAGCTCAGGACAATAGGCCTAATGTAGGAGAAGAAGAAGCTAAATATCTGTGTTCTTCATAGCGCCAACGGCTTCTCTTTAATTTAGTCTTTAATACCACAAGCTGCAAATTATGATTTTAGCAAGTTAGTACAAATGTTTCTTCTTTACACAGTATGTGCCCGGATTAATTGTCTACTGGAAACTGCAACATCTGTGTATCACAACAGGTTTCTGTGCTTCCTGGATAGTGATGTTTGCAACCTGCCTGCGTGCCTTGTCCTGTTTATGGTGTTCCATGATGAGAATTTGACTGGCTGCAAAATGGGGAAAAAGAATAAAGATTATTAAGATTAACCGGCAACACAAGGACATTACGAATCCCCATAGCTTCACAGTGTCCATTTAATGGACCTAACACATACAGTGATGACTTGTTTTACCAACTGTTAAGTAGATGTAAATCTAATCAGCAAAACCTTATGTAAACTCTTAACATGCTCAAGAGGAACTTGACCCGTTTCTTTAGAAATGTTTAGCAATGACAATCTACAAACACATTCTTCTAGATAATTGCCGGATTTTTATTCTTTTGCATACCTTATTTTTCTTTTCTTCCCCAGTCTTTTGACAGTGGCCATTTTAACTAAGAGCAGGTTACTAGATCTCCCTTTACTTCCTGGAACTAATGGCACATGTGACTAGGACATGTGACCATGCACATCATCTCAGGGGAGGTATGCAGATGTGATTTTTAGTCAAAGGTAGTAAAGGTCCTCTTTAATGTAAATTCAAAAGTCATTTTCAATCTGGAGCTTTCATTTAAATAATACCTGGTGATCCTGCCATCAAGGTACTTCCTGTTATAGGGTGACAACATTCTTCTCCTAACTGTGCTTGTGCAAAGCTACCCGGTCCCAGAGGATTTAATAGGGATTACACAGGCATGGTCCACTTTTGTCACCATCAAGAGAATACCATCCAGCCACTACTGGAATGCATGCATGTAGACAGGAAGTGGCTGCAGAAGATCAGCAGAACTGAGATGCCAGGTGAAAAAAAATGTAAAAACAGTGTATCGAAAATAAATTGTGAAAAATAGTTTATGGAACACAGTGCTTCATCAAACTTAATTAAATATTGTTAGGTCCCATCCATATAGCGACTGCACTATTCCCTCACAGCCAGACAGAGGAGACAAGTGGGTGCCCACCAGCTGTGTGTGTCTCTGCTACAGCAACCCCAAGCCAAGTAGAAAAAATCCAGCTGCACACCGATAACTTTGCTGGAGAACTTTACTGAAGCATACAGCTTGAGATCATCCTGCCTTAGGTCCTCCCTTCCTTCCTTTCACTAACGCATTTCATCCAATAACGGACTTAGTCGTAAAGAGGGATCTCTACATTCTCTCTACACCCAAAACCAAAGTTTTGGGTATAGATACACTTTAAATAGCATTTAATTGTTTTAGCTTTAAAATTAAACGGCATCATAATGTGTGCTGATCCTAAAATGCTAAATGCCTAGAGGTGTTTTAACAATCCCCAAACAAGCACAAGTGGTTGTCTGATGCAAAGGAAGCATTTTATGATAATAAGTACAATGGCAGATCTTTGGGTGAACAAGTGAAAAGTGGAAGACAGTGTGGTATTCCTGAGACTTTAGCTAAGATTGGCACACTTTATACACAAACTGTACAATGTGGAAATTAATGCACAAACTACACAAATCAATTTAATCTGCTATAAAGAATAACATTCATTAATAAATATATATATGCTAGAGAAAGCTTCAGCTGGCATACTTCTGACAAGCCTGAAGTACTCCCATCACAACTCAATCTCTGAGGAATAAGGTGTGTTCTGGACCACTGAAACGTGTTGGCTACTCTACCCTAATGGAATAAAGTTGTATCTGGACTATTTTAACTAGTGTGGCACATCAATTCCTACATCTACTGTGTTCACTGTCGAGCCAAGGGTGCTGTGGAGATCCTTTGGATTGCGGAGGCTGCCCACTTATCAGCCAGACCACACATATTCACTTCACTTAAGTACTGTTGGATGATAAACACCATGAGAATAAGCATACAGGTCCAGCACTTTCTTAACACAATTCCAAATATCCCAGTGATCATGACCCGCCACCTGGCTTCCTGATTGCCTGAGAAGCTGGTGTTCTATGTTCTTGTTCTATTTACTTGTTCTTCTTGAACAAGTAAATTAATCCCAGCTGAACGCAGAATGCTGGAGACAGAGCAGGTAGTCATCACATTTAAGAACTGCTATACTATTTGTGTACATGTATTCTGCTCAGGATCCTGTCCTATTGCTTTTGGCTTCACACAGGGGTCAAGCACCTATGTCTACCAAGAAGAGCACTCCCTTATAGGAGTATGAAAAAGTCCTCTCTGAAGCCCTAAACCAGGTCAATGTGCCCTGCAATGTGCATAATGCACCACAAATAGAAAACCAATGGGATAGTTATGCCAGTAATGTAATCTGCTATCCCTATACAGCATACAGTATACCTATATATAATTCTATTGGAGTTTATATTGTGTTTCAGGGGTGAGACCTGATGAATATAGTCTGCCTATAGTGCACATAAAAATTAAGTTTGATTTAACAAAACATATTCTGTCACAGTACTGTTCTGAGTTTATGAGTTTAATCAGTAGACTAAAGTAATTTCAGTCTGAAGGTGCCTATATACATTAAATGACTGTCATCAATATAACCCAAATTATTTTAGTTACATAGCTAGTCAGGTTGAAAAAAGACACAAGTCCATTGAGTGCAACCTATAGAGATAATGAAAATATACAGCACACCTCCCATTATGAAAGTGAACAAATTGGGTGGTGTTCTGTAGTTCAGATCAGGAGTGAGTAGTCTAAAATGACACTGCTGATCCTGCCTAGACACAGTTAAGGGAGCGAGCATTGTCCCCCCAAGGACAGGAAATGTGTGACTGTCATGATTGCCAGGTAAAGAAAAAAACAAAAACTAAATCGCCACTTCATCTACGGACTGGTAAGATCCTATATGTTATTTTTTTAACTTAGTTTTATACACACATTAGGATCATAGCAAGCTTTCATTGTTGGATTTTCCAGGCTAATCAATGTGGTTGTCCCAAGATAAATGTGGGGCAAGGCTATAGGTGGGTTTGTCTTCTGAGGCAGAGATATCCATGCTTGGGCAATACAAGCACAGTAGTCCACAGTATACGTGTTCCAAAAAGACTGTTCAATGATTAGATTGTACTTGCTCATCTGATTATTATCTATGGCCAACTACAGAGCTACTAGTCTATATATACAGTACGTGTCCCAAAAAGACTGTTTAATGATTGGCTTGTACTTACTCATTTGATTGTTATCTATAGCCAACTACAAATCCATGGTTATCAAGTATGTACTCACCAATGGCTTCAAACACTTCTTTCACTCCTTCTCCTGTCTTTGCTGATGTTTCCATGAACAACAACCTTTCCTGTTCAGCAAAAGCCTGAGCATCCTGGGAGTAGCACAATACAATGAAAGGCTTGATGTGTTGATACATGTATTAAGAGAGATTTATCTTATGACTTACAATGATATAATATAGAAGCTTAGAGCAAAACTGGAATTTGTCTCCTTAACCCTATTGTTCACAGAGACAGAACAAAGCTTGAACTGCCTTCAAGTATCAAAAGCAGGCATCCTCAGGTGCCTGCGCATAACCCTAAATTACTAGGGGTGGGGCCCCATACCTCAGAGGCTCTGATATGCAAATCACCAAAAATCAAAGACTGAGCTACTACCTTCAACTTCTTTAGGACTGTGAAAACACTTATTACTTTGAACACCCAAAAATTATTTGTAGGAGCATACTTTCATCTGATGATGGGTGTAATTTAAAGTAATTAAAAGGTGTAATTAAAAGGTGTAACCTCTTGCCGTCCGCCCGTAGTAAAAAAAACGGACGGACGGCACTGCTGCATTTGCGGGTTGCCGTCTCCAGACGGCAATTATTTTCTGCTCGCGCGCGCCCCCTAGCGGGCACGCACGGGCAGAAAAGACACGACCATTAAACACACCCGTTACCGGGTGTTTCAAAAAATTGGTAATTTTTTCTTAATATAGTAAAAAAATTAAAACCCCAGTGGTGAATAAATACCACCAAAAGAAAGCTCTATCTGTCTCCAAAAAAGGGTATAAAATTCATTTCAGTACAGCGCTGCATGACGGAATAAATGTCAGTCAAAGTACCGCATCGCTGAATACTGAAAAATGGCCTGGATGGGAAGGGGGTTTAACACCGCGGATGTCAACTGGTTAAACCCATAAGCAAAAATGTTATATATTTCAGCTTATAATCCTTATGTGGTGGTTGCAATAGTCTTCTTATGGGTTTTTTTTTTCACATGGTGTTCCAGCTAGGGATTTTTTTTTTCAACTTCCCGTAACAGACCAAGCTGTCCAGATAAAGTAGCAGATAGAGTGATAAGACAGACCATTTAGCACTGACAGGGGTGCTTAAAATTGTCAGCTTTATTCAATTATGTAACACTTTTATCCTAAAAGGATAGTGTTTGTCTTTCCTTTTATAATTTTTCAGTAAAATATTGATGTATACACTTATCCTTCAGGCCTTGTTCACACCGAAAGCGTTGCACCGCGATCGCTAAGAAACTTCTCCCCGCGTTTTGGGGCGGGAGGGGGCGTGGCGGTGCATTGAATTCAATGGCACCGCATCCACGTCCACCCACCCGCAGTGCTATCGAACGCGTGGCAAGACTTTGCTAGCGTTGCGTTCCACTGCATACGCAAAAAATAGGGCTTGCTCTATTTTTTGAGTTTGCAGTGGAACGCAACGCTGGCAAATTAATAAAGACCAATTGTTTGAAAAAGTGTTAGTTGGAGTTCAGATTTAATTTGTTAGTCAAGTTTATCTAAATCTGCTAATGTATCCATCACTACCCTCTCCACAAGTTGACAATGCTGCTCTCCAAGGTTGACTCCATTGCTTCTCCATAGAGTGGCGCCATAAGACAGGAAGTGTGTGGCTGGATCACCAGGTGAAAATAAAGGGAAAAAAAAGCCTAAAAAAAAACGAATGCAGCCACGACATTTAAGGATTGGTAAGCTGCAATGTATACAATGTTTGTTTTTTGGTTTAGATAGACTTTAAATGTACCGTGTTTCCCCGAAAATATGACACTGTCTTATATTTTTTTTAGCTCAAAAAAACACACTAGGTCTTATTTTCGGGGTAGGTCTTTTTTTTTATGTACAACAATCCAAAATGAATGCAAATTCAAATTAAGTAATCCAAAATGGTAAATTAAAAAATAGGGTGATCAGGGCAATCGGGGGTGCCGTCCCTTTCAAAGAGCAATTTGGTAACCAATCGCTGGCCAGAATGAGCGAAGCGCACTTTCACTATCGATTCCTCACAGGCGGAGTGCATTTGGCATCACTCCACCTGTGACAGGAGCTAGCGCTATAGAGGAAGCATCGGCTTATCTGCTCCCTCCGCTGCCGCTGGCTTCAATGGCACCGTTGATTCTCTCCCGCGGCTCTTCAAGTTCCCCCTTATGCCACCACCGGCCCTGGGAATCGTCACAACTAGGTCTTATTTTCAGGGTAGGTCTTATATTTGAGCAATTCCCAAAAATAGTACTTATTTTCGGGGTAGGTCTTATTTTCGGGGAAACAGGGTAGTTATAGAACTGTCCTTCTTTTGCAAAGGTTTAATGTGCAGTATTTTGATAGACTGCTGTGAACGTTCACAACCATACCATTCTACGTGTATATTATGAAGCCATGTCTAAAATGTTAACTTGTGGTATAGTTAGGAGTCACTGGGTGACAACAAACTTCAGAAAGAGTCCAAAAGTAATAATTGTGCCCATAACACTGAAGTCTCACAATCTAGCCCTCCTAGCATACAAACTGCAGGTACACAAAGGCAGGGCCGGCCTTAGGGGTGTGCGAGCTGTGCGGACGCACAGGGCGCAATGGCAACAAAGGCGCCAGGCGGCCAACACAGCTCTTCCTCAGGGCGGCTTCTCTCCTCCTCACCGCTGGCCATCCAAACGCTGCCTGCTGTCAGGATGGCCAAGTGGTGAGGGTGAGAGAAGCCGCGCTCGCAGCTGTCAGGATGGCCGAGCGGGTAGGAGATCGGAGCCGCTGTCATCCTGTCAGTTTCAGGATGACAGCGGCTCTGTGCGTGGCAGAGCGGGGATCGGTAAATATCAATGATACTTACCGATCCTCCGTGTGAGAAGGACAAACACTGGAGCGATCGTCTGATCACTCCAGTGTTTGTAAATAACTGGGGACACATAGTACTCAGTTATGAATGAACAGGCTGTAATTTCCATCACAGCCTGTTTATTCAAGATTTCCTCAATGGGGAGAAGCACTCACTGCCGAGGCTCCTCCCCATTCAGAAACAGCTGATAGTAAATACTTTCTGAATGAATGGGAAGCCTCTGTACTGAGTGCTTCCCATTCATTGAGTGCTGAGGCTGCAGAAAAAGAAATTGAGGATTTGGTGTCCTCAATTTATTTTCTATTTTGAAAGGGAAATTTCAGGGGTCTGTTTAGACCCCTAATATTTCCCCAAACAGTAAAAAATAAATAATTAAAAAAATTGAAAATTATAAAAAATGTAAAAAAATTATTTTACAAAAGTGAAAACTGCCCCCCCCCTTCGTTTCATCAAACAAAACAAATGTTTATGCTATTTTGGATTCAGCTATTGGCGTGTTCTGGAGGCAGGGCGCATGACGTCATATAACACTGCACGTGTTGGGCGCCGCCATCTTGGTGTATATCTAGGTATACACCAAGATGGTGGCGCCTATATCGGCACATGACGTCATGCTCCCTGCCTCCAAGATGGGGGCATGCATTCACAGAACACGCCGGTTGCCAACATGGCCACCGCACATTCTCTTATTATGTGCCTGAATAAATTATTCGTATATTCGGACATATAGTAATTCATTAATTTTACATGTTGTCTAGGTTTTGTGTTCTGTTTTCTATTTTTACTTTTTCTAGATATACCTACTTGAAAAAAGGGATCGGCATGACAACCTGACACTTTATTTTTATAGACTCTATTTTAGTTTGACATTTATTGTTTGCCTTCTGTTGTTTTATTTGATAAGAATACTTCTATTGTGCCTACAAGTTTAATAGCTTTGAATAAAAGTTTTATTTGTATAATACTTTTAAATATATATATATATTTGTTTGCGGCTTAACAAAATAGGAGTCTTTAAATGGTGCAGATATTGGCGGAAATGGGTGTGGTTACTGGGGGTGTGGCCACTAAAGGGTGTGGCCACAGAGGAGTGTGGTCACTGAGGGGCGCTGTAAAGCTTTCTCGCACAGGGCACCTTACGGCCTAAGGCCGGCCCTGCACAAAGGTAATGTTGATCTTGATCAAATAATGTTTTCAATATATGCTACAATCTTAGGGGTCTATTCACAAAGCTGCCGAAGGATCTAGCCGTAGCTTCGGCTGATCCTTCGGCTAGCTGCGACCCCAGGACCCCTTCGGTTCAGTAGAATAGTAATATAATATAGTGAATAGCCGTACAGCTCCCGAAGTTGGCCGAGGGGCTCAGTCGAGCCGAAGGCTAACTGAACGGGAGTGGTTAGAGGGGTGAATAGCTTGTCACAGGCATAGTGATAAATAGTGGTAAATAGGGTGGGCAGGGAGTTTGTACTGTATTCTAGTGTATTACATTATTTACTGTATTACATTATTTACTGTATTACTATTATATTGTTATTAGATTGCACTTCACTTTACTGTAGTGTATGCTAAGAGACTGAGGGGACTGCTATGGTAAACTTGTTCTCTATTTCATTTTTTCTACTTTTTTAAACTGTTTTTCTACTCTGCTCGGCGGCATTCGGCTATTCACTCACTGCTGTTCGGCATCTATGAGAATAGGCCAAACAGCAGCGAGTAGCCTGCCGGAGGTTCGGCTCAGCCGATCCAGATGAGCATGTTCGGCCGACCCGAAGCCAGCCGCAGCAAGCCAATGTACGGCTGATTTTACTCGGTGTACGGATGAAATCAGCCGTACAAGCCTGAAGTGAATAGCCGAACAGCATTCGGCTCACTTCACTTCACTTCGGGTCGGTTATTCACTCGGCTACCTACGGCAGCTTTGTGAATGGACCCCTTAGAGAAACTGAAGTGTCCATCCCTACCTGAATTTTTTTATAATGTTATGTTTGCTTCTAAAGTCACTTTAAGCTTATTACAGTCTTTATACTATGCTGGCAAGGGTATATTGACCAGAGTCACAATCAGCTGGTGTATTCTACAACCTTGCTTGTACTGTTCTGCTGCAGAAAATCATACCTCGAGTGAGACTTTCCTCTCTGAATTTAGATCGGTCTTATTTCCAACAAACGCAATTACCATTTCCTCACTGGAGATGTACTTCTGTAGCTCCTGAAGCCATAGCTGAGCTCTAAGAAATGTCTCCTGCAAGAGATGGGAGCAAAAAGGTAATTAATAATTCATACAGAATATAAAACAGGATAAGTAAAGACCATGCACTGTATGACATCTGCTTCACTGAAAAACCATAATTCCACAATTAGTACCTGTCACACATTTAGTTGCAAATCATGGCTGAATGCTGTACAGCCAATACCATACATTTTCAAACTGCAGCTTCCATTTTAAATAGATAACAAGTTGAAAGTATAAATCAACATACCGGTAGCTTCAGAATGAGGCATGTGAGAATGTAGCTTCTACTTGATCATAAAACCAGCACTAGTTAACCCGTTTTGGATAACATGTATACATACATATGTTGCTAGATTTGAGCATTGCTACATGCAATTCTTTAAAACACAAATTTTTTCATGATATCCCATGCTACTGCTTTACATTGGGCCAAATAGAACAAGACCTGTAGCTGAACGCCTGCAAAATGCGCAAAAACCTGCATATATGTGCATAAGAATGCTCAAAAACGCTCATGAAACAATGCCTGAAAACACAGATGCCCAGGTGTGAATCCAGCTTTAAAAGTGACATTAAAGTCACATTCTCCCCTCCCCCCCAATGCTGCTTTAAGGACTTACCTTAAATGATTGCTCTTGATCCGATCATCTTCTTCTTTAGTTTTCAGGAGTCCCTCCAGAGCTGGTACCGCTCTCTGAACCAGCATTTACTGCTTTGTCTTCTGTGTCCCACGGTGTCTGTCCGCATGCATGCTACCGGTGCGTGCATTTAATTACACCGTGTCTCTCTTGTCCCAGCCAAAGATCTCTACTGCGCATGCGCCTGCCCCACGATCCTTCACGGCTGCTCGAGAATCTTTAGATCTTCAGACGGAAGCGAGCAGCAGAGACACAAGTAAGTTTTTCCTATTTGGTAACTTTTTTTATTTTATTTTTGTATCTTTTTGCATATATCTACTGCTTGCTAGGTTTAATTCTGCTTTAAAGAAAAACAAGAAATATTTTGTTTTAAATATTATTTCACATCTTTACAGTGAAAAGTATTATTGATAGACCTGAATAATATGCACCTTGGAAGTGATGTCATAAACCAGCATGGCAGCGCTGGCACCACGGTAGTATAGGTGGCACACACTGTGATATCTCTCCTGGCCAGCAGTGTCCCAAATCTCAAAGTCCAATGTTTTCTCCTGGACATAAACTCTTTGTGAGAAAAATGCACCTAAAAGATCAAGACAAAAGCAAATTTTTAACATATATATGTGAGAAACAAATGCTGTGTAATATCTTTTTGATATATTGATACTAATGAATGATCATTTTATGACTTTTGCAGTCTACAGTAATGTTAATACCAGTGTCAAAAAAGGGGTTTGTTCACACTATAGTGCATGCATTACCATGCCATGTATATGATTTCACATTGCATTGTGCTGCAAGTCATTTTTAAAACATTTTGTAGCAACGTTCCCTGCAAAAATGCAACCTTATTCATATTTTTTAAGTGAACACAAACACAGTACATTGGTGTGAATGGGGACCCTAGAAAATAAGACTTGTCTTTAGGTTAGGACTGCATTGTGCAATACAGCCCAATGCTGGTGGTCTAAACAAGCCATGAGTGCCTTATTTTGGCCCAGTTCCCATGTTAAGATTTGTACTTTATAGCAGAATGTATGTGCACAAAGAATAAGCTCATTTTGTGAACCGTGGTGCTTTTTTTGGTATCATTTCAATAAATCCTATACTTTTTTTATGTAACAGCTGAGTGATACACAAATAAGATACATTTTTTATAATAGTTAAGGAACTTAAATGTATTTTTAAGATTAAACTCCTGAGTTTAGTGTCACTAAGATTTAGATGCATTAGACCTTTTTTTCCCAAAAAATCCTAGGGTTAGGATACATATACAATAGACATGCAAGCCAGCAAAAAAATTGTTTCTTTTTGTTTCGGATGTTTGTTATTTCATTTTTTGGGATATGGGTCTGAAAGTCACTTTGTTTCAATATTCGGATTCAGATGAATCTGAATTTCCTTAAGTGTGAGTTATGAGTTAAATGATCATTACCAACTAAAAAAATGTTTAGAAAATTGATACTACATAATTACTTTGTTTCTTTTTAATTTCTGACACCACAAAAAAAACCAACAGTGCGGGGTCCGCCCCCAATTCATACCAGACCCTTTAGGCCTGGCAGGAATGTTATGGGGAACTCCTTGGAAAAGCACCTTGTCCCCATGCCGATGGCGAAAAGGGTCTCCTCCCCACAACCCTGACCCGGTGGTTGTGGCGTTCTGTGGGGAGGGGGGGCTCATCTGGGTACCCCCTTTCATAAAGGGGGCACCCAGATGCTACACCCCCCATGCGAATGAGCAAGGGGTACTTGTACCCCTACTCATTCACTAAAGGGTTAAGTAAAATGTAAATAAACACACAGCACCTTACACAAAAATTCCTTTAATTGAAAAAAAAAAAGTCACTCCAGCGTCGGCCGACAATTGAAAAAATATAACAGAAACTCCCCGATGCAATGTTTACATCAGGCAGTAAGCGGAAATAAACAAAGCCTGCTATTGGTTATTTAAAATTGAAATAACCAATAGCAGGGTGGCTAATGCTCCGCCCACTGCCTGATGTCAGTCACGGAGGAGCGGACCTGAGAGAGAACTTTCTCTCTCAGGTCCGCTCCTCTGCAGGAGCAAAGGCCGTTCTGTTATTGGCTATTTTAAATTGCAATAGCCATTAGCAGGCTGACTATTGCCATCTGTCAATCAGCAGAGGAATGTACCTGAAAGAAAACTTTCTCTCTCAGGTCCACTCCTCTGAGACTTACAGAAGCAACGAAGCAGAAGCTGTTAGAGAATAACAGGGATCTCTCAGCTTCTTTAATTATTCACATTTTGTAACACTATTCTGTTACTTTGTTTTCGTTTGAGATACAAGTGCAGAGAAGCCAGAGAGCGGAAAATGACAGCTCTCCCGCTTGTTGTGTTTGTATCCGGATGTATCTGAATTTCGTTATCAAACATTTAGATTCGTTCAGATTCGATACTTCTGTCATTCGGAAATTCGGATGCATCCGAATGTCTAAATTTCCCGAAATTCGTACGGATTTCATTCCGAAACGAATTGCACATGTCTAATATACAACGTCATAACAAGAAAATTATTATTATTTAACTATTAACATAAAGTGCTATGCTATATTACTCTTAACTATATTTTACTGTACATTATATTACATCTCATCTTCCATGATAGATAAACAACATTTATGAAAGTGCTAGAAAAGAAAAAAAACAAACAAACATATGTTCTGTCCCTAACAACCAGAATAAAACTGACATTTTATTAATGCAGGTATAAAATTGGCAGGATCTATTTGTTCTCTGATGATAGCACAGAGACACCTATTTTTATACACTTACATAAGGCCTTTTATGTTGTACTCACATCCAGTAGTGCAGGTAGTATCCAGAAACTCGTCCCTTAGGTATCTAAGAACCATGCTGGATTTTCCCACATCGCTGCTTCCCAGTAGCACCAGTTTGTAGATGTTAATATTCGGTTCCTCATAAGTAATGTCATAGTCCATTCCTACATGGTTCATTCTGCAAGCAAGAGAACATGCATGGAAGATCATAAAACAAGCTGCATTCTATTACTTCTTTAGGTCACACCAATATTTAAATAATACAGGGTTATTCACAAAAGGGTGAAGAGTTTGGAGCAGTGGTGGACCTAGAACAAAGGGCCCTGGTGCAAGATTTTTATTTGGGCCCCCCCCCCCCAAGATATTCACCCTTTTGTGAATATCCCTGATCCCTGATAATGTAAAGGGAGAGGTTAGGGAAGGTGGGCACTGTCCTAGGTCCTAAAGCATCACATTTAAAGCAAATGTATAGTAGTTCCTTTATTTATTATGGTAAGGGCTAAAATATGTAAACAAATATTTTTTGGTCAGCTGAATATAAAATATTGTATATTAGTATTTTGAAGCCAACAGAGGGAGCGTTTTCTTATCTTTTAAACTTTCCGCTTGTTTCCTGGATATAAAAAGTCTGTGGGTTACAGAATCCACAGAATCCAATAGCTTAAGGGCTAAGTTTATTTTGTAGACCATGTTTTATGTTACACCCATAGCCAGGGTGTAACATGAAACATGGTCATAATTTTTGTCATATACTGTAAATTCCTAATGGTCTGTATAACTGGGGATGTGATCAGATTGTAACTTGTCTAGTAGGCTTTAAAATGAAGCTATCACTTGCCCTCAATAGACAAAGTGACAGGTTCTATTGAAAGCTCACCCCTATACCCTCTTATACTCAGTTTACAACAACCCCAACATTTTTAATGTAATTCAATATTCAATATAATTCAAAATTAATATAAAAATGGAAACGTAGCATGTGGGTGATCGTTCCCTGAAAGAGGGCATAGGACTTTGTCCTGCTGTAATTACCAATATGACAATTATGTAAACAAAAGCCCAACTTAGGAAATTATGTGTTTTCAACCCTTTTTATTTATTGAAGGCAGTTGTTTTTTTAAAATCTTATTTACAAAGAGTCATCCTACCTGTGCTGTGCCGGACCCAGTCACATTATCTGGTGGAGCAGCCAGCAGCCCACAGTATTCTCTTCACGTACTCTTGACACTGTTATAGTGCATTTATGGCTGGTAATTTCACTTAAGCACGTGTAAAGTCCACAAGGGAGGTTCTAGCTGATCCAAGTTATGTCATAGTTCAGAAATATTGTCTTGTAAGTCCTGCAAAGAATCACATACAGCATTGTACATAGTTTAACCTTCACTGAAATCTGTCAAGCGCTTCAAATTTTGGAAACTCATTAGGTGACACTAAACTCAGGAGTTAAATTGTAAAAATGCATTCAAGTACCGTATATACTCGAGTATAAGCCGTCCCGAATAAACGCCGAGGTACCTAATTTTACCATAAGCCGAGGGTGGGAAATGAGGCAGCTACAGGTAGATAGATACCAATAAAATTACATGAATATTTATTTAAAAGAAAAATAACCTAGCTCTGTAAGTGGAAAAGGGGGTACAGGGCTACATATCATGTACTACGGATCATTTAACCCATTCATATTAGCAGAGGATAATTGTAAATCTATTGTTCAGTGCATTCTATATGTAGTATATAGTACATGTACATATAGAGTGCCTGCAACAATACATTTACAATGATCCTCTGCTAACATGAATGGGTTAAATGATCCATAGTACAGGGCTACATACAGATCATTTAATACATTCATGTTAGTATAATTGTAAATGTATTGTCTGCACTGTATTAGCAGTATATACTCTATATAGAGTATATACTGCTAATACAGTGCAGACAATACATTAATACGGTACTTTGACTATTTACAAAAATGTATCTTATTTGTGTATCACTCGGCTGTAGATCCTCAAATCATCTCCGAATTGGTGCTGATACTGTCCTTCCTTCTGGAGGGTGGCTACATAGCTGATTTGGAAAAATTCTACAATTTAGCTCACTTTCCAGTTCAGCTATGCTGTCCTAGACTGTTCCCTTCTCCTGCCTTCTCCAAACTCTTCACCATTTTGTGAATAACCCTGTTAATGCTCAGTCACTCAGTAACTTGACGCTTTTTGCTTGTAGAAGTACATGAGATTTTTTGGGAGTGTGGTCAGGCATTTTTGTCATCATAGACTTCCATTTGAGCGCCTATAAATGTGCGACACACATTTCCACAAGTTTTTGCACACATTTTGGTGTGAACTGCTATCTCCCCCTAGCAAGCCTGGCTCTGGAAAAGAAAATGGAGGATTCAGGATTGGCAATTCTGGATGTATAATCATGCATGGGCACAAAGATCATCGTACATCACTCAGAACTGCCCCCTCTGTTCTCTTTCAGCAATCACTGTCTGGATCCAGTATCTTCGCCTGTTCTTTTTCTCATATATAACAACAATGCAGCAGCAGCTGCTGCCAAGAAACATGGCATAGTGTCCATGGCTCAAGAGATCTGAGAGCAGAAGACACCACAACACCACACTGAAAAATCAGGACGTTTTTTTGCAATTACAAGTATGACATGAAAATTGTACGAATGACTCTGCAACTCTATTATATTTCTTTAACCCCTTCGTGACTGACGACGTACAGTGTACGTCGCCAGCATCGGGGCTGTTTAAACAGACTCCCGGCGACTTTTGCCGCCGGGACTCTTTTTAAACTTGTAGAGCCGACTGTCGGCTTTACAACAGAAGCGATCCTGGCGACTTACCTGTCGCCAGATCGCTTCTGCGAATGTTGGAGGGTTTTACGTCATTTTCCGGCCTAAAATGTGGAATATAACATGGGTGCAAAAATTGAAAAAAGGGCCTCAGTCATGAAGGGGTTAAATCGTTTCATAAAAATGTATTGAAAGTGAAAAACCAGGAAGGAATATGATGATGTCAAAGAGGACAACATTTGATGTCAAAGATTATACTGCTTTCCATTGAACAAAATAAAAATGGCCAAACCTTAAATTTAAATGCAAAAGCCTTGTTATAAAAAAAGCCTTCAAAAGCCCACAAAGACTCTACATCACCTGAAAATGGCTCAGCTCAGATGTGAATGCAGGCTTATGCTTTATTAATGTCTAGGCGAAATCCAAAAGCTAGAATTCAAGGCAGGGGATTGGCAGAGTTGAAAGACAAGTATGTTTACTGTTGTACTTCTTCAAATGTTATAACTCTATACAATCACTTAAGGAAAAACATTAAAGTTATTTTACCTACTGTAGCTATTGTAAGCTAATATCTGATTGGTTGGTATCAGTTGGTACATTTTTCATTAACTTTATTCAAATTCTCAGTGCTATTCACTACCCTATATTATATAATATATGAAATAGATGTTAAAGCTAAACTCCAGCTGTATCTATTTTTCCACACTTGTAGCAAGTCCTCTTCTATGTTAAAATGCATGGTTTTCAATTTCCTGTGAATGTGCATCTCCATAATATAACCCTTTGAAACTGCAGCAGTGATCTTAAATTCAACATAAAGTCCTGTCTAAATGACTTCTGTCAATCACCAATCACTTCTCCCCTGATCCATAACGTAATTGCCCACCCCGGTAAGCTATTAGCTTTCCTAATGTGAAAGAACATATCCCAGGTAGGGTTGCCACCTGTCCAGGATTCACCTGGACAGTCCGGGTTTTGAATGCTGTGTTCGGGTCTCATGGCAGCAGAAACCCGGACACAAGATGTCAGGCAGACAGGGGCAACCAAAATTAAGATAGGGGCTACTGGCCCCCCACTGAAAATAGCCTCAACTGTTATATTTACATATGAAAGGTGGGGCTATTAATATATATATGATTAGCCATGACTCAATCTCCCAAAAAAATCTCAGCGCGTCGCTAGAGTGTTCGGGTTTCGCTTGAAGAAAAGGTGGCAACCCTAATCCCAGGCATCCCTTAAAATGTGCCTGATCAAGCCTCGTATCAGCAGAGTACACAGCTAAAGCCTACAACAGCCAGTGGCCAGAAGGGAGAAGCATGTACATCTAGAGGAATCCTGGGGATGTGTTTTTGAAAAAGGTCGAAAGCAGGAAGCTGTGATGTTTACAGGGGCCTTATGGCTATCCCATCGCACACCGGTCCGATGTATCCCTTGTAATCTCTCTGGTGTTTGCTGCAGTGAAAAATGGATGGTGCAACATTCCCGTCCCCTCCCACCAAACTCGGAGCAAAGAGCAGCAGTCAGACCCAGTGTTAACATCACTGAGTCACAAAAGAAGAAGTTTTTGAAAAATAAAATTATTTGATTGAACATTTTCAAGGAGAACTATGGGGTCAGTGTTTTTCCCCATAGTTCTCCTTAGGGTAACGGGAGGACACAAACTAGCGTCCTCCCGTTACCCTAAGCTCAGTATACCGCGAGATACAGCTCGCGGTATACTGAGACGCCGCAGCCGGAGCGGATCCCGACGTAGATGACGGGATCCGCCCAGCTGCGTGAGTGACAGCTGGCTCTGCCTACCTAGAGGCAGAGCCAGCTGTACCCACCCCCTCCCCCGTCCGTTCCGCCAGTCAGCGCTGGCAGATCGGAGCGGGGAGAGGGGAATCCAGCCCCTCCCCCTGTCACGGCAGAGAGCCGTGACAGGATCGAGAGGCGAGCGAACCCGGTATGTGTTCACTCACCTCCCGATCTACTAAGCCGACCTGTGAGAGTCTCATTGTCACAGGTCGGCTAGAACTATGAGGTGAGTGAAAAGCACTCACCTCATAGTTCTCCTTTAAGTGTATATTGATCTTGAGGTGGGGGAGCAAGGAAAGGTATTATATGTGCACAATCCTTTAAAGTTTTACAGCTTAAAGTGATATTAAAGTCAAAATGTTGTTAAGGTATTTGAAACGCTGATGAAATCACATACAATGGATGCTGCTCCTTGATGTTTAAAAGTTTTAGTTTCCTGCAGAATCAGCTGGTCCCCTGAGCACTGACCATGATTTCCTGTTTTAAGGCGTCTCCTCTCCCTTTCAGGTTTCTATGGAGTCATCCTTACGTGTGCTAGTAAAATGTGTGTGTCTCCACAAACACACAATCGATAATACAAAATCACCTGCACTCCATACAGCGTACAGACCTTGAGTAAGAGGTGGGTGCTTGAAGTGACAACACGGATGGCGCCGTGTCAGATACAGTCCATAAAAGAAGTCACCAGCACTCGATCATACGTGCATGAAGTAAAGCACTTTTTATTCAATCGTCACATGCGCCAATCAGCCAACGTTTTGGGGGCCACACAGGATCCCTTCTTCTGGGCGACATAGTAACTATGTCGCCCAAAAGACGTCACTATGTCGCCCAGAAGAAGGGACCCTGCATGGCCAGAAAACGTTGGCTGTTTGACGCATGTGACGATTGAATACAAAGTGCTTTACATCTTGCACATATCATTGAGTGCTGGTGACTTCTATTATGGTCCACAAACACACAGCAAGGCAATCTACTTCCTTGCTCCCTGCTCATCCTTCCTCTCTTCTCCAAGTTAGTAGATGGAGAGTTGCTGGAGACTGTACTGTCAGTTGTGATCTTGTACTGGACAGGAAGTTCAGGAAACTGAATTGCAACTGAGAGAGTTAGGGGCCAGGTGTTTGGAAACAAGATGACTGTAAGTGCTTGGACAAAATGTAAAGAAGTTCCTTGCTGGACAATGTGCAGAGGTACCTAGGTTCACGAACGCTTCTGTTTGCGAACAATTCGGTTCACGAACAGGAAGTTGGGCAAAATTTTGCTTCCGTTTGAAAATTCCGCATCGGGTGACGAACACAGCCGCCGCAGCCATCTTCCCCGCTCTGACACGTGTTGCTTCCTCTTGTCGAGATCGCAGTCTGATCACAGTTTGATTTCATTTGCGACCAATTCTGTTTGCGACCAGAATCGTGGAACAAATTAAGTTTGTGAACCGAGGTACCACTGTACATTTGTTTGATATTAATTTATTATTGAAAAAAAATTGAAAGCTTTATATTATTTTAAAGCAGAACTTTTTCAAAACCCTTGTAGTGACCCCAACCCTCCCCTCCCGCCACACACACACACGCTGCAAGGGTTAAGTGCTCGTTTTTGTCTAGGTTAAAAAATACAAAGTTATACTCCCAAATCCTCAGAGGTGGACGGCCCTGACAGCGCTCCCTCCTGTCTGTCTCGTCCTACACTCCAGCCATGGTATATGTCTCTCGGCATCCTCTACAGTGTGTATAGAATGTGATGTCTCAGGGACCTTAGACCGCTACAGCAGAGGGGGATGGGACCGGTCTAAGAGCAAGCTGTCCCTGAGGATCAGGTCAGTGTAATGTTGTTATTTTTTAACCTAAACAAAAATAAGCACTTAACCCTTGCAGTTGCGGGGGGGGGGGGGTAGCCCCCACTGAATGGGTTAAGAAAATGTTTTACGTAGAGATTTGCTTTAAGTACCCTATTTTAATTGGAAAAGTCTAAGCCTGTTATCGATAGTTGTTAAACGTAAATGTGTTTGTTTAAAATAACTAACTATACACATAACATGCGTGTGTTGTTTTGTATTTTATTTGTTTTGTATTTGATGATTGCATTTTTACAATTAATATGTGTAAGTCCATTTATTCAGGTTAAAGCAATATAGGAACTGCGTGATAGAAATGAAGATGCTGTATCTATTCAGTATATATACATTGGCATTATTGTATTTGTCATTGGTTTCATTTATTGCTTAATGCAGTCTATAGATTCATTGTGAGAAAGAACAGATTTTTCTCTCAAGTCAATTTGAGTGTATAGTATAAAAATCCTCCCCCTGCCCTGTCCTTCTTCCACACCCTCTGATGTCAGCTGCAGAGATTAGGGGGAGAGGAGAGATGAGGAGGTGAGAGAAAGAGGAGGGAGAGATAGGGGGAGTACCCTGCAGAGAGGAAGAGCATCTGACCCATTTCCTTTTGCAATCTCAGTGCTAGAAACAGTAGCAGAGTGGGGGGGGGGGATAGTATAACAAGATTGGGTTCAATTCTCCTTTAATGAGGAGACGTGACAGGCAGGTATCTGCATCCAGAGCAAAGAAAACAACAATCAGCATCAGCAGGGACAGGATCAGTGGAGGACACACTGTGACAAGGACAGCAGAGCCATAGGAATACATACACGCTGCATAGTGCAGATAAGGAAAGACACATTGTCACTGTAAGTACCAGCTAAAAAATAAAAAAAAAGGAAACTGGAATGTGTTACCTCTTTAGCCAAAGAAAGCGATATACGTTGTCGCATTAACTGCCATTGGAGGAGAAGGGATATAGCCGTGAAAAGGAGACCACGCTGTGGAGGCCAGCACAACCCCTTTTATCACCAAATTGGCACTGATACAATTATTGACGTGGACTGCTCTATTGCTGTGGGTTTACCTGACAGGGGCTGCATGTGGATATTGAACTGATCTGCCCCTTCTCTTCTTACCACTGCCAGCTGTAAGCGGAGATGGGTACCCAGGGCACCGGTAGGAAAAGACATCCCAACAGGGAAAGACTGTCTGCTGAGGACCATGCCTTGAATCAGATAGCTCGAGAGGTGAGTGCTTGGATAAACAATATATCTGTTGTATATTGATGATGTATACTGCAAAGTATAATATGTCATGTATCCAGCTGTACCCCACCTGGTGCCACCCACATTATCCCTCTGCTAGTACTGAAATGGCAATGTGGGTTTGGGGGATTCAGCCTCCTGCAGTCCATTTCCTGACCGATTGTCTTCCAGCTACTCATATGGTTTATCTGTTGTATTTAAGAGTAATTTTAAAAGAAACAAATAAGTTCCTGGACATCGTGTGAAAATTCCTTGGTACATACAGGGTTAAAGGCCAAAAGGAAGAATGAGCCAGTCCCAGGAGAGCTCCTCATTCTCTGTCATATGGCCAACCCCAGATTCTGACAAGGGGCTTTCAGCTGTCCTGTCACCTGGTGCTGCTGTCAGGCACTAAGATGCCATAAGCCTTCTGTCCCCATTAATGAAGCTATGTTAACCCCTCCTTAGGTTGTTTACATTTGCAGTCTGTTTGTTCAGCTTTGGAAAAAAAAAAAAAAAAAAGAATGTCAGATGAAAAATTATGTGGAGCCACCAAAGCAGTCATTTATGAGATACAGTAGACATATAGTATTGACATCTAACTACTCTATGAAGGACTGATCCACCGGGAACTGATATTTTTGTGTAGGGCAGATGTTAACGATGGTGAGATCTTTTCTCTGTATTTCCTAGTTATGCTCCCTGTATTGAATCTCGCTCCTCATGCTGTACCAGGGCATAACTCACTCCTTCAACTGCATTGCGTGGAACAATAAATATATTAAACGACAAAAAAGTAAAGTAAGGCACGGCAGATGTCCAGACCTAAGTATTCAGGAATAGAGATCTTGCCTCTGGCTAAAACACAAGTTATAACAAAAGTGATTCATTCCAATCAACAACATACAACAAGCATTTCTGTGTCTCTTTAAAGGAAAGCGTTAGTGACAGAAATATGGTGGCTACCATTACTGACGTAATTATTAAAATGCTATATGCCTGGCAGTTTCTGGCTTCAATTCTTCACTGACTTGGATGGAGTATACAGCAACCAAGGTCAGAACTCCTGATCTGCATATTTCGTGCAGTATGACTCCGGAAGTACTGATTGCCATGCAACTAGCATTTTCACGAGTTAGTTATTTCAGCCTCCATTTTCCTCCCTACAAGTTTCCTTTAATGTCTGCAGTGAACTTGTGTTGCATTAGGAAAGATTCCATTAGCAGTCACAACACTCATTGCTGAACAATTGATGACAATGTTTCTGGCCTCTGTCCAATAGATTAATCAGCTACTAGAATTGTTCAAGTATGCCCTGGTATTTCGTATAGTTCTAATCTTCTCCTCCCTGTCATACACTATATATAAATATATATTTATAGTTATAGACTAGATCACATTGAAGTCTAGTGTAGAAAGCCCAGGTATTAGTGTGGGTAGCACAGAATGCTTCCTGCTGAGACACAGCCTAAAATAGCCAGCTCCGAGTTATGGCAGATGGCATATCTGTGTTCCGGCAGCCAAGCCTGATCTGTGTCATGAGTCTGGTTTAGTGGCAGTTTAGATAGCTGCCCTGGCTCTACACTGGTGTCACTAAACAGATTGGCAAAGACCCCACCGCTATTGTCCCCAGTAACCTTATTCTTTCAAATGTTATTTAACTTTTAGAAAGTGACCGTTCCTCACTTCAACAGGCTGTTTACCGATTTAAACTTTTAATGCTCTTTTGAGTATTAAAGTGAACCTTTACCCATATCTTTAAAATAACAACAAGCACACCTTTAGAAATGTTTAGTAATGACAATCTACAAACGCATACTTCTAGATAATTGCCGGCTCTGTATTCTTTGCATACCTTAGTTCTCTTTTCTCCCCCAGTCTTCTGGCAGTGACATGTTTACTAAGGGCAGATTACTAGCTCTCCTTTCACTTCCTGGATTTATGACACATGTGACTAGAACATGTGACCATGCACATCCTATCAGGGGAGGAAAATGCCTTTCCCTGAGATCTCCTGAGATGAGATTTCCCAGCCATGCTCTGCTGATGACAAGGCAAATCCCAGTGTGCATTGTTTTGGCAAACTGAAGTCATTTTGCCCTTTCAAAGCAGAAAGTGAATGCTCTGCAAGTGTAAGTATTTCAAAATCACAGCATTTTACACCTGACATGTCTATGTTATTATTAATCATCATACATAGAGGGATGCATTGGTAGAATTTGATTTTTGAGTGTAAAGGTCCGCTTTAATGTTGTGGTAATCTACCTATGTATACTGAGAATAATAGTACTTACTGGGTCTTACTGTGTATACTGAGATTAATAGTATTTGCTGATGTCTTATACATTACTCACATGTGAAATAGTGGCCCTCTGCTCATTTCTTTTTGCAATATTAGAATTAACAAAAAAATGCCATTCTGTTGTATTGTGGTAAAATAGTTTTTTTTTCTTGGAACACCAATGGTCACAGTCATCTTCATCCAATGAAAAATTAAAGAGAGAATCTAATTGGTTGGTATGTGCCACAGGACCTGTTCTTCCTTTTGTAATGCGTTTTGTTACCACAATGCAGATTAGTGCATGTAACATACGTTAATGTGTTGCAGTGCCATTCATTTTTAATGACATACTAAGGCAACACAGCTCCGATGCACATACATTGCACTGCACCCGAACCCACGGTAATGCTCAACCATGTGTTGTGGTGTGCTGCAACCAGAAAAATTGCTGCATGTCCATTCTTGTGTATTAGCGGCTCATTCAAAATGAATTGGCTGCCTTAACACAACGCACATAACCTGTGAAACACAACGTTTGTTAGTGCACAATACTATACGCTAAATTGTATTCAAACACGTTAGTATATTTGTGCATGATGTTTGTGGTGAGCTGAATAATGGTTGAAGTGATTAAAATGCCAGATTTATGGTGACATGAAAGAACAACTAATGCAGCACCACCTTAAAATCTAACTTAACAATCAGATTAAATAACCAAGTTAGATTCCAGGTGCATCAAAACAAAAAGGTGTTACAAGACTTATAGTTTGTTTTCTTTAAACAGCAGCCACAGCCTGAGTAGAAAAGCCTGTCCCCTGCCAGCCACAGGACCCTTGCTCTCTGTGAGAAATCAGTTGTCTTTCTGCAGAGCAGGGGTGTAACTACAGATCATGGGGACCCATAGCAAAATGTTAATAGGGCCCCATGGCAAGCCCTTTAAAATCTAAATCAAGGGCAGGTAGCAGGAGAGCTGTCTACATAGTCTCTTCCTGTACATCTGATATCAACTCTTCATAAGGGGTACAGGCTCAACAGCAACTTCAGCAATCCTTCACGGGGCCCCCTTCTACCCCCAGGCCCCATAGCAGCCGCATGGGCTGCTATGGCTATTGTTACGCCCCTGCTGCAGAGGTCTGACAGCCCCATTGCTGAGTCAGAGCTAGAGCTGTCCAAATTGTAGTATGAGGTCTGCCGTGGGCGTGTCTACAGAGCAATCAATGAAAGTTTAGATGGGCTTTAAGGTGGTTTACCTGGATGTATTTCTCTGAATGAAACGGAAGCCTCAGTTGGGCTTTATTATCCTCGCTGGCAAAACAATTATACTCATGCTGGCTTCCTTAGAGCTGAATCAGGAGTTGCTAAGAGACATACAGGGCTCTTCAATACAATTGCAAAGTTGAAGCTTAAAGTGATATTAAAGTCAAAGGGTTTTTTAGGCTTTTCCAAATGCTGATTAAATAACAATTGATATTGCTCCTTGATGTGTTAAAGTTTTAGTTCCTGCAGTATCAACTGGTCCCCTGAGCACTAGCCCTGATATCCTATTTCAGAGTGGCTCACTTCACTTGCAGGGTCCTATGGAGTCAACCTTGTGTGTGCTAGTAAGCTGTGTGTCTCCACAAACACACAGACACAGCAGGGCAAGCCTCCCCCCTCTTCCCTTCTTCAAGCTAGGAAATGAACAGCTGCTGGAGACTGTGATTTCCCTTATGACCTTGTACTCAACAGGAAGTTCAGGGAAGCAGAGGAGAGAAAGTTGAAGCCAGCTGTTTAGCCAGCCGGATGGCTGTCATAAGCCCCCTTTCAGATGGGTGGCCTGATCACGTCCACCGGTCAGTTTTTCAGGGAGACCCGATGCAATGCCCAATCTAAGTCTATAGCCAGCCGGATCTAAATGGATGGGTGTCTGTTTACATCCGCGTTGCCCCCGCCTCCGGCCAGGTCCGAAAGAACAAAAGGAACAGAGTTTTGTTTTGCCAGACCTGATCGTGCTGGATCAGGAGTAGTCTGATGTCAACGAACACATGTTCATTTACATCTTAGTCCGATAGACCGACATGGGGTCCGGTTATCTCAGTTTTTTCCTCAGTCGCAAGATGGAGGAAAACAAACTGAACGGACATGGATGTCACATTGGTGACATCCAATCCGTACTCCCCCGATCAGGAGGGGATTCGTGCATCGGACAATGTGATAGGGGCCTTAGTGCTCTGGCAAAGATTTAGAGAAATACTATATACAGGGCAATATACAGGGCAATGTATATTTGTGTGATCTGGATTCATTACTGAAAAATGTTTGAGAGTTTAATATTACTTTAATAAGAAAGTGTAAAGAACAGTGATGTTTGGTAGCCCATGATACCCCACACAGAATTTGGATTTGTTAAGTCTTCCAGTCCAGAACACAATTTGGGCTGCTGTACACAACTGTTAGTTGCACCACTGACAAGGGCAAAAATGTGTTATATGTTTTACCCAGATATTTCTAAATGTTTTTAACATTTCCTGAAACACATATTTTATTTTGGAGTTAGTGTTACAGTTGGAGGGATTTTCTATTACTTTATTTATATTACTTTCTTATATTAATAAGAAAGGTATCATTGCACACTGCAATACTGCGTTTTTTTCTTTTTTGACATCATTTATATATATATATATATATCAACCATTTAACCACAATACATTTTGGCCAATTAGGCATTCTCTGTATGCCCATG